TCATTCAACTTCCTTTTAAAGTTACTTGTGTCATAGTCATCAAAACAGAGAGTAAATGTGAGAAAATGAAAATCCTCAGAACTGGATTAACAAACATCATCATCATAACAAGTGGAGAAGAAACTGAAGCTGTCAATAGTGCTATTCCACTTCGATCAACAATGGAAGCGACATGGAGGTAACAGTCAAGAAATCAAATGACTTATTGTATCAGGCAATCTGCTGCAAAAGGTCTCCTTAAAGTTTTACAAAGCAAAGATGTCACTTAGATGACTAAAGTGCACCTGGTCCAAGCTATGGTATTTTTAGTCACCTCAAATGTATGTGAAAGTTGGATAACAGAAAAAGGAAGACAGAACAATAACAGATGTATCTGATGTGGTGTTGGCAACAAACACTGAATACTGCGTGAACTACAAAAAGAAACAAATTAGTCTTAGAAAACATACAATCAAAATGTTCTTGGAAAGCAAGGAGGGCGAAAGCTTGATTTGTTTACTTTGGATACATCATCTGTCTTGGTGGTAGTAGGCCCCTCTTTTTTAGCTCAAATCACTCTCCTTTTATCTCTTGTAAGATAAAGGTATTGGAAGTCACACCCTTTGGAACCTCCCATAAATCCTATCAGGTGGTGGTGGGATTAAGGGCGATGGGATCCCACCCTTCATCAAAATAAAATTAAATCACATCATGGGGGATAAGTACTACTCAACTGCTAAACCACTGAGAACTCTGGCCTACTCAAGCTGACACAGAACTTACAACTGCCCCAGTACCCTTTCCATTGCTATCTGCCATGTCCACATCTTCTTTAAATATCTATAGAAATATTTTGGACATCTAAAAAATCAGACTATCTTCTTACTGAGTCATAAAAAGTCCATGTATTTTGCATACAGACACTCTTCAAGATAAACATTTTGCAGTAATTTTCTCTCAGTCTGCAGCTTGACTTTTTAATTTTCTTAATGGTGCCTTATGAAGAAAAATGAGTCCTGGGACTATCAGAGCAAGCACTGGACTGCTAACTGCAAGATTGTTGGTTCAAATCCACAAGTTACTTCTCAGAAACCAGTTTAATGGTGTTTTAACAGCAACATGAAAAGAAAACTTCTAATATTTTGATAAAAATTTGATTTACAAGTTGTTCTTAAATTTTATGCATACTTTTAATGGTTTATCTTGAGGCTCTGTCTAACTCAGTCACAAAGCCATTTTCCAACGCATTCCTTCAGTTTTCTTGTTGTAACTTTTACTTTTAGGTCTATGATCTATTTTGAGCTGAGGTTTCCATATGACATAAGAGTAAGGGTTCATATTTCTTGTTTTTTGCATTGGGTATCTAATAGCTTCAATAACACCAACAGAAACACTATCACTTCTCACTGAATTATTTTGGCACGACTGACAAAAATCAGTTGGCCCTATGTGTGTGGGTCTCTTTTGGAAGCTATTGTGTTCCACTGAACATACATATTATACATACTTTATGTTGTTGTTAAGTGCCGTTGAGTTGATTCTGACTCATAGTGACCCTGTATAGGATTTCCAAGGAGCAGCTGTGAGCTTGAACCACTGACCTTGCAGTTCAATTGTTGTTGCTAAGTGCTACAGAGTCAGTTATAACTCAGAGACTCTGTATAGGGTTTCCAAAGAGCAGTTGGTGGCCTTTAACTGCTAACCTTGTGGTTAGCAGTTCAGTGTTTAATCCAATGGCACCACACTGTTAAGTGTTGCTGAGTCAGTCACTCACATAACGACCCTGTATAGGGTTTCCAAGGAGTGGCTGATGGGTTTGAACCACCAATCTCGTGGTTTGCTGTGCAGTGCTGGTCCACAGTGGCACATTAAAAGTCCATTTATATATATGTCATAAACACCACAAGATATAATTACTATCACTTCATTTTAAAGAATCCACTAAAAAACAACAACAAAAAAATCCACGCCATCAAGTTGATTTAGACTCATAGTGACCCTATACAGGGCAGATGAGAACTGCACTTTAGTGTTTCCAAGGCTGCAGATCTTTATAGGAACAGATCTCCATCCATTGTGCTAGGCTTTCATAGTTTTTGTTTTATTGCTAGCTGTTAGTCTTACTCTTTCCCATCAAGGCAATCTCTTTTTTCTGTGGCAATTTCATAACTTTCATTTCATCTTTGATTTTCAGGAATTTTATTATGATGCTCCTTCCTAGGTTTGCTTTTCTTCATATTTCTCTGCTTTCTATACCTGTCAAGTTGGTGTTTACTAGTTGTGGAAAAGCCTTGGTCACTACATTTCTTCTGCCCCATTTTCCCTTTCCTCTCTTCTTGGAATACTAATTATCTGTCGTTCAGATCTTTTGCTTTGTCTCACATCTTTTCTGCTCTGTCTCCTCTGAGCTTCAGTTTGGGTGTCTGCTACTGACATATCTTCAAATTCACTAATACCACCTTCTGCTGTATCTGGTCTTCTACTAATGCCACCAAAATGAGCTCTTAACTTTAGGCATTGCCTTTTTCAGTCCTAAAATGTGCATTTGAGTTTGTTTTTTATTGTAATTTTCTAATAACATTTAATATATATTAATCCTTTTTCTATCATTTCTATTTTGAAAGGGATTTTAATAAAAATTATTTAAAAATACTTATTTACACATGGAACTATCAGGAGCATTTTCTGGGATCTCACTGATTATTTTTTTTCTCTCATAGCCAGAGTCAGGTGTGGTGCTTTAGGATAAGCACTGGACTGCTAACCGCAAGTTTGGTGGTCCAAACCCATCAGCTGCTCCTTGGATACTCTATACAACTTGCTATGAGTTGGAATCAACTTGACAGAGATTAATAAATGGGAATCCTTCTAGTGTTTCTTTTTTCTCATGATTACTGATCACAAGTCTATGCCTCTATACAAGTCTGTTGTTGTTAAGCCCCATCAAGTTGGTTCTGACTTACAGTGACCCTGTGTAGGGATTCTGAGAAATAGTTGGTGGGTTTGCATCACTGCCCTTGTGGTTCGCAGTCCAGTGGTGATCCTATAGCGCCACACCAGGAGTGTAACTATGTGTATTTCTCCTTGTTTCCATTTCCTACTTATTGGAGTGTCCACCTGCTGTGACTTAGTACATTTTTCCTGAAAGCTAAACTACCATTATCTGTATATGTTAATAACCTGCTTGAATGTTGGATACTCCTGGGTTTTTCTGTTCTTTATTTCACTTTTATCAAAAAGCACAGTAGCTCCTTGTGTATCAGAAGTCATCCAGCCACTTCATATTAAGAATTGTGGACAAGACTATCCTCTGAGAGACCACCATCAGTGGCACAAAGATCAACAAATGTTTACTCACAGAAAAGTTCTTAAAATTCCTCCACACTTCTTTATCATGAACTTATATATGGACTTAGCCCTGTGTTATGGTAGAAATGGACTCTTAGCCCTGTGTTATGGTAGAAATGGACTTAGCCCTGTGTTATGGTAGAAATGGACTTAGCCCTGTGTTATGGTAGAAATGGACTTAGCCCTGTGTTATGGTAGAAATGGCAAAGAACAGAAGACAGAAGACCTAGCCTAAATCCATCTCTGTGACATCTAAAAGGACCTTAGACAAACCGTGTATTTACTCTGAGTCTTAGTTTTCAATTCATAAAGCTGTCCCAAAGACAACATAGTATCTGAGAGGGCTTCAAAAAGTTCATAGATAAATGGAATTAAAAGATCATTTTATTTTAAAGATCCCGTAAACTTTAAACACTGTGTAAAATGAGTAATATGATTATCTTGTTTCTAAATGTACAGATCAAAACCGTAAATTAGACAGAAGTGGGTACAGCATATAATGGTGGTGCTGTTGTTAGTCGTGTCATCGAGTCGGTTTTGACCCATAGCAACCCTGTAAAGGATTTCCAAGAAGTGGCTGGCATAACAGGTACATTAAAAATACAAAACTACAACCCAAAACCAACATCAAAGGAAGAGCTGAGAAACTATTTTAAAACTACCAATAAAACTTAGAGTTCTTTAATACAGAATCAAAAAATTCCGACTTATTTCAACAGATGTTGATGCTACTAACTTTACCGCTACGCAATACAGAGGCTGCTGTTTAGGACAAAAGCTCGACTCTGAGAGTAAATTATATCCTGCATATTATTAACAAAATATAGGAATACATAATTATCTTTGGAAAACCTGTAATCAAAAATGATTAAAATAAAACTTCCAGTTGGGTGATCTACAAGTAGATTAGTTTCTAGTGAAGAATCAAAGCATGCGGTCTTAATATCAACAAGTATGTAAATAAAATGAAGATTCTACAACATTCATTTACTTTCACTATTAGAAAAATTTTACAAAAGATAAGATTTTCAGTAATCTTAAAAGTGGCAAAAAAGATCATGGTTGTGGGTAAACCAAAATTTAGGAGTGCAGAAAGAATCATGCAGGGAACTTGAAAGAATGGTCATTGTTATAGTAAAGGAGTATAAGTGTAACTGACCGGGCCAAAAAAAAAAAAAAAAAAAAAGGATTGCATTAGTATATTTATTGAAAGAGTTAGGGAGAAATTAGAGAGCTGAAGACAAATTCAGATTTACTGTATCAAGGTTATGCATAAAAAAGAACAACACCAAGTACTGAATAGGAAGTCAGGAATTTATATAAAAAGCAAATACACAGTCTAGCATGTCAGAAAAAATGGTTGCTATTGTTGAGCATCAACAGGATCCTTTTGATAGGCTTTATAATAACTAGACTGTACAGTTACGATTTCCCTAAAACCTTTTAAAAGTCTTGGTCATTTTATACTCTATTGAAAGTCAGCACTGAAAAGACAAAAGTAGTCTAATTTCCATGTATGCTAAAATTTCATTATGTGACAGGATCCATTGTTTGTGAATTAAGTCTATGGTACATCTACCAAATTCTAAAATAGCAGTAACTAAGAGATCTCTGCACACACAAAAAATAAATTTCCAAAACAATTCAGTGATCTTATAAATAAACCAATATACCTTAGCAAGTGATTTTACAATAGGATTCTCCATGATCCCCTTGAGGAAAATTAGATCTATTTCTTCTGTTCCGGTAGACGAAGGCAGTTCCGTGAGGTTATCCAACACTTGCTGCATTGCTCCTGATACAAAAGCAATGAACAATGATCAATTTCAAGCCACTATGGGGGCAAGATTACACAATAGTGTAAATAAAAAACATTAACGCTTCTTAGAAAAATCACATTTAAAACATGTAACTGATATAAAGGCAGGTTTCACATAGACTTCCCCATGAATTAATAGGAAGGAGGGTTTTCACACTCAGCTAGAACTTTGCCAGACTACAGAACACATACTTAGAACTGTACATTTGGCTTTGTAATTTTCAAATTTAGAAACATTACTCAAAATTTCTGAATAGACATATAGGAAGTTAAGAGATTAAATTTATCATCAGAAAATTTCCCACAACAAGCTTAAGATCAGATAACTTCATGAGTGCATTCTACCAAATGTTTACAGCAAAATTAATACCAATCCTTCACATATTCTTCCAACAAACAGGAGAACACGTCCCAAGTCACTCTATGAGATTAGCAACATCTAATAACAAAACTAGACAAAAACATCATAGAGAAAAAAGAAAAACAAAACTACAGCCAGTATCGCTTAAGAATACAGACACACACAAAAATCTTAAATAAGTACTAGCAAACTGAATCCAACAAAATACAAAAGGGATCATACAAAACCATAACCAAGTAGAATTTATCACAGGAATACAAGGTTGGTTCAATACACAAAAATAAAAATTGTAATCCAGTGTATTAAAATAGCACAAAAATATCTTGAGATGCAAGAAAATTTTCTGACAAGATCCTACATCTTTTACGACAAAAACAAAGAACTAAGCATACACACAATATTCAACATAATAAAGTACCATCTATAAAAAACTTAACATCATACCTAATGATGAAAACCTAAAAGCCTTAATTCTCCCTAAGAGCAGGAATAATACAAGGTTGTTTGCTCCTGATAATTCTATTTCATATCCAACTAGAGGTCCTAACTAGGGCAATCAACAAGAAAAAGAAAGAAAAGGCACCCAACTTAGAAAGGAAAAGATAAAACTATCTCTAGCAAATAGTTTGATTCCATATATACAAAATTCTACCATAAAAGTTTTTATTAGAATTGGACACTGAAACTATAAAAGCACCCACCAGTAAACAAAACTGAGGACCTAAGTAATGGAAAAAACACCCCATATTCACAAAAATAGATGGGTTCATACTGTTAAATGGCAATACTCCCCATATTCAATGCAACCCCTATCAAAATACCAATGACTTTTCAAGCAAAAATGGAAAAGCTGACACTAAATTCATTTTATTTAGGAATTGAATGGATCCCGAATAACCAAAATCTTGACAAGGAAGAACTAAGTCAGAGGACTCACAATTCTTGGTTTCAAAAGGTAAAACAAAGATACAAGAAATTAAAACTGGTGTGGTGCTGGCATAAAGTCAGGCACATAGACCAATATCATAAATTAATGAGGCTAGAAATAAATCCATGTATCTACAAGCAAACTGATTTTCAACAAGAGCGAAAAGAAAATAATAGTCTCTTCAAGAAATGATGCTGGGACAGCTAGGGTAAATTAAAAAGTTGGTGAAAAAGAGCAAGACCCTTAGAGATGGACTGACACAGTGGCTTCAAACAGCAATGACTGTCAACATGCTACAGGGGCAGGCAGTGTTCGTTCCACTGAACACAGGGTGGCTATGACTTGAAACAAATTCAGTGGCACCTAACAAGTCAATAAGTATTGGTATTACGGTTCCAGCTCTCACATACATAGGTTTAAATACACTTTATTTGAAACAATCCCATCTGTGATCTGTGGACAGCTATAGGCACGGTCTCTCAGTAATTCACTTGTTTTAATCTAGTTAGGGCGCCTTCAAAAAAGGTCCAATCAAAACAGTGGCTTCTGTGGGCTTCTACTGAGCCAGTTAAATTCCAGACAACTCAGAAATTGTTTGGAACGTCAAAGAGGTAATTTTGATAGTCTGATGGTTTGTGGTATTGTTGTGGCTTGTGTTTTGTTATGATGCTACAGGTTTCTCAAATACCAGCATGGTCACTCACAGTGGACAGGTTTCAGTGAAGCTTCCAGACTAAGAAAGAATATGAATAAAAATGAGATGATTTACTTCTGAAAAAGGTGGCCTTAGAAAACCTTGTAACAGGAAAATGTTGTCTGATATAAAGTAGACCGTAATGACAAGCTTTAGGGACTTATAGTTGTTTTCTTTTTCGCTTGTGCCACATCAGTAAATGTATCTATCCATTAAAAATTAGAACATAAAATACAAGAATTATGAATCTAGGAAAACTCAACATTTGTCAAAAATGAAACAGACCTGGTATCTCATACATTAGTGACTATTCTGAGTCCAACAATCATATGATCTACTTTACCAGGAATGACAAATTTAAGAGGAATGATGTTTCACTCATCCTCAAAAAGAGCATTTCACGATCTACCTAGAACTATAATGAGGGCAGTGACAGGATAATATCCATGTTCTTATAAGGAAGATCAATTAATACAATTATTACTCAAATTTAAGAACCAACTACTAATGACAAAAGTGAAGAAACTGAGTATTTCAACTTCTGGGGTCTGAAATTGATGGAACAGGCACTCAAGATGCAATGAAAAGTACTGGTGATTAGAATGTCAGCATTAGAAACAAAGGAGAAGGATCAATAGTTAGAAATCATGGCCTTGGTGAGAATAGTGATGCCAATGATCACTTGTTAGAATTTATCAACATCACGACTGTATTTCTTGAAAATACCTTTATCAGGGATCAAATTAGAGGGTCCCAGATAGAATGGCAGAAAATGTGGCGTAAAACTTAAAATTATTTAATAAAAAAAGTAATAAAAGACCAGATTTACTGGTCAGAAAGAACTTGTAGGAAATTGAGACTATGGCTCTCAGCCACCCTTCAGGTCTGGAAAGGAACTCACCCTTGTGGCCCAAGTTTCAGCCAAGCAGCAGACAGGTATATTGTTGCTAAGTGCCGTCGAGCTGATTCTGACCCATAGCGACCCTGTATAAGGTTTCCAAGGAGAAGCTGGTAAACTTGAACTGCAGCGCAAACCTTGCAGTTCAAACGACTTTGCAGTTTGACACAGTGCCAGGGCAGCAGTAACACTAGTGTGTAAGATATGCTCACGATGAATGGGCAAGCATTCAAAATCAAAAGGGCAACATTTTCCTAAGGACAGAGAAGAGATGGGAAAGTGGGTGGGATGCAAATAGGAATCACAGGGAGGAAGCAGGACAACTCTTGTTGCATGGAGGGGATTGTAATCAATGAGATGAAACAAAGGGTATGATTTGTTAATTGCACAGCTGACCTTGTCTATATACCTTCACTCAATTCACAATAAACAGTTTAAACAAAATAAAACCAAAAACCTTTATCCTAAACATAAACAATGACCATGAACATGAATACAAAGGAAATGGAATTTCAAAGGAAACAAATCACCTCCATTTGTGGAAAGATAAAAAAAGAAAAGCTCAGAATCTTCAGAGACAACAAGACAAGGGGCAGACTGTATGTGTGGTGCAGGCCTTGATTCGTGTGTATGAAAGTCCAGTCCAAGTTGAAGCTGAAGAAAATTAAAGCAACCCCAGGAGAGATAAACTAGGACAAATAGTATAGTTAGAGAATTTAGAGAACAAATCAAGAATCGACTTGACACACTGAAAATAATAATTAAAAAAAACAGGTGAGCTGTGCAACAATACAAGAGCATCATTTATGAAGAAAAGAAAAGGTCATAAAAAGATAGGAAAGAAAGAAAAAACCAAACTGGATTGTCAAAAGGCCTCTAAAACTTTCTCTAGAACACAGAAAACTAAAACAAAAGAAAAATGAGAAAGCAAAGAGCTAAAAAGATTTCAAGGGGCATCTTGAAAAGACAAAGTAAATTATTATAATGAAATATGCAAAGACAGACAACCAAAGTGGAGGACCATGTGTGACATTGAAGAAAAAAAAATTCAAGTCCCCAGTTGCATGACCAAAATACTGAACAATGAAGAAAGCATCAAAATAGGGTAGAAGGAATATAGAGAGTTACTGTACAAAAAGAATTGGTTGACATTCAATCATTTCAGGATGTAGAAATATGACTATGTTAGTTCTCTAGTACGGCTGTAACAGAAATACCACAAGTAGATGGTTCTAGCAAACAGAAATTTACTCTCTCACAGTTCAGGAAGCTAGAAGTCTGAAGTCAGAACACCAGCTCTGGGGAAAGATCCTTGTCTTTTTTCAGCATCTTAAGACCCATCAATCACTGGTGATCTCCACATTGTCTTGGCATCAACCTACCCCTGGATCTAGGAACTTCAAGGTGCAGGAATCCCAGTTCCAAAGAATGAACTTCACTCCTGTTCAACTTTCTTGGTGATAGTAGGTCCCTCCCTTTATGTACATTTCTCCTTCCTTTTATTTCTTGTAAGATAGAAAGTGTTGCAGATCACACCCACAAGGTAATTTCCTTTCAAATGACTGGCTGCTCACAGTATATTTCATCATAGATGTAATTATATTATATTAGATTGCATGATACGAGGTCAGTACATCTGAATTGCTAAGCCACTCAGAATCCCGATCCAGTCAAGTTGAAACAAATCTAAACCATCACAAGGATCAAGAACTAAAAGTCGTAAGGAAGAAGTCAAAGCTGCACTGAAGGTATTGATGAAATACAAGGCTCCAGGATTCGATGGAATACCAATGGAAACATTTCAACAAACAGATGCATCAGTGGGAAGTACTCACTTGTCGATGTCAAGAAATTTGGACGACAGTTACCTGGCCAACCAAATGGAAAAGATACATATTTGTGCCCATTCCAAAGAAAGGTGATCCAACGCAATTCAGAAACTATCAAACAAAATCATTAATATCACATACAAATAAAATTTTGCTTTAGAAAAATTAAAAAATGGTCTCATATGACAGAAATTCAAGCTGGATTCAAAAAAGGATGTTGTTGTTTTGTTAGGTGCCATCAAGTTGGTACCGACTCATAGCGAC